CGCACTTTTCATTGATGGAAGCAATTTTGCAGCTTCTATGAATGAATGAGGAGGATAGAAAGTTTGGGCATAGCCGGCGCTCTTCCTGCTTCTGCCTTACCCAGGAAAACACATATACCACAAGATAGTTTGTTGGATGGTGAAAGGTCTTGATATGCAACTATATAGCCTCTGTCCTCCTTAAAGCGGAGTTCCAGCCGTTTTTGTGTTTATTAAAAGTCAGCAGCTACAAAAACTGTAGTTGCTGACTTTTAATAAACACACACTTACCTAGCCCGGAGTCCAGCGATTTTTCTCACCTGGGCAGTCCCTTCTCCCCTTATCTCCTCCATAGTGCCAGCATGTCAACTGTGGGCACCAGGCTGTGACAACTTGCAGCTTCCCAGCCTGTTGTCCACTGCGCATGCGCAAGTTGCGCTGTGCCTCCTAATTGGTCCGGCAGTCTCCTGAGCCGGAAGTGAGAGCAGGTACCTGTCAAAAGCAGGTATCCACTCCCCACTCCCCTCAAAAGGTGCCAAATGTGGCAGTGGAGGGGGAGGAGGCAAATAAGTGGAGCTCCCACTTTTGAGTGGAACTCCACTTTAAGGATCATACACTATCTACTGTATTTATCTATTGTGGGGCAATAGAAGATCCCTAATAGGGCTGATAGACTAGTGTAATTTCTTTTAAATTGAAGGGGTAATCCCTGACACTCCTCCAAGTGTTGCGATCCACCTGTTACTGTCATTTAGGATCTTGAAGTTATCTGATGTGACTACAACAAAGGATATATATATTCTCATAATATGGTGGGAAAGCTAATGTTTTACTGTGTAACAAGTGTTTTTTTAATATCAATACATTGTGGATCTGTAAATAGGCCATGCGATGCACTACTGCACTATACTTTTAATACTTTATGAATAACTTTGTATAATTTTAATAGTAGTGTATATTATACTGTATGTACAAGTTGTGCTTAAAAGTTTGCATACCCTTGGAGAATTGGTAATATACAGTACCATTTTTTAAGAAAACATAAGTGAGCAGGCAAAACACATTTCTTGTATTTCTTACAGGATTTATATTCAACTGTAAGTGATAACAGAATGGAGCAATAATAAAATAAAACATTGCATTAAGTAAACAAATTAAGTCTGCATACCCTTTGTTCATATTCCTGTATTGCCCCCTTTAGCATCAATTACAGTCTTTTGTACTAGTTGTCTATGAGGCAACAAATTCTTGCAGGTGGTATAGCTGCCCATTCATCTTGGCAACATGCCTCCAGGTCATACAAAGTCTTTGATCATCTTGCATGAACCACATGTTTGAGATCTCCCAGGAGTGGCTTGATGATATTAAGGTCAGGAGACTGTGATGGCCACTCCAGAACATTCACCTTTTTCAACCACTGGAGGGTCAACTTGGCCTTGTGCTTAGGGTAATCCTTGAGCTGGAAAGTCCAAAAGAGTCCCATGCGCAGCATTTGTGTAGAAGAATGCAAATTGTCTGCCAGTATTTTCTGATAACATGCTGATTTAATCTTGCCATATATTTTCCCAAGATTCAATATGCTTGTAGAGCTCACACACCCTCAAAAGAGTTGGTTACCACCATGCTTCACAGTGGGGATGGTATTCTTGACGCTGTTGACCCCTCTGCAAACATAGTGCGTATGACTGTGACCATAAAACTCTATTTTGGTCTTGTCAGTCCAGATTACAGTATGCCAGAAGCTGTGAGGCATGTCAGGGTATTGTTGGGCATATTGTAACCAGGCTTTTTTTTATGGTATTGGCACAGTAAAGGCTTATTTCTGGCGACTCGACCATGTAACTAATTTCTGTTCAAGTATCGTCATATTGTGCTCCTTGAAACAACCATACTGTCTTTTTCCAGAGCAGCCTGTATTTCTCCTGAGGTTGCTTGTAGGTTTTTCTTTGTATCCTGAACAATTCTTCCAGCAGTTGTGGCTGCAATCTTTCTTGGTCTACCTGACCTTGGCTGGTGTCACTTTTTAATAAGTGACTGAACAGTACTAACTGGCATATTCAAGGCTTTGGATCTCTTTTTATATCCTTTTCTATCTTTATAAAGTTCCATTACTTTGTTACACAGGTCTTTTGACAGTTTCTAATTGCTCCCTATGGCTCAGTATCTAGTTTGCTCAGTGCATCCATGTAAGAACTAACAAACTCATTGACTATTTATACACAGACACAAGTGGCAATTTAAAAAGCCACAGACATGGAAAATTAACCTTTAATTGTCATATTAACCTGTATGTGCCACCTTGTGTGTCTCTACAAAGGCCAAACATTCCAGGGTATGTAAACTTTTGATCAGGGTCATTTGGGTGATTTCTGTTATCATTTTTATTTAAAAAGGAGCCAAACAATTATGTGATAATAGATGGTTTTTCGGCATGATCAGTCATATGCTGAATATCAATGCCAAAATGTCATGGTTTCTGCCAGGGTATGCAAACGTTTTAGCACAACTGTATATTGTTAGGCACCTATAAGGGAGGGGGAACAACAGATTTAAATTAAGAGAGCAGCCACCAGCACAAAGGACAATTTTCATCCAATGAAGGTTCCATGCCATGTGCTAATTGCAAAAGAAGAAGAAGAAAAAAAAAAAAAAAAGCTAAACTTAGACTAATGCACATTTTATCACAGTATATAGTGAATTATAATTTTATGAATGAGGTGAAACTTAACAAAATGTACTTTGCAAACACTACCCCATTATGTAAAATGTAAAATACTACATTCTTCTTTTCATAGAATTGGATGATTAAAGTCAGCACAGCTTCACCTTATTCAGCAAGCTAAGGGAAAATTAACTTTGTAAAGAGAAGATTAATTTTGAAAAGCAATCGTGTTCTACTCTTTCAGTAGATCAACCCTATTATGTCCCCCTTATGGCACAATAAAAACCAGCCAAATAAAGAGAAGGATACATTCCAAATGGCAGGAAATTGTGTAGCTTGCAAAGTAAAATGAGAAGATGATAATAATCTCTCTTTTGTTTAATCCAGGAGTTTGCATGGTTCCCATGAGTCACTGGGCTGTGTGGAAATTCTTGACCTGAATAACGAGAAAGATGTGATTATACGGGCTCTACACAGCAGTATTCTGGGGGAGCAATTCTGCTTTGAGGTGAATATAACAAGAACTCATTTTAGGGCTGTTTTTCTTTTATCTTGCAATACAACATGTGAAATAGGGGGATCCTAGTGGTACAGTCAGTTCTGCCAATCTAGAAAGAACTGGATGGGTCTACATATAACCAGCTGCTGATGTAAAGGTCACAGGTTTTATAATTCAGCAGTGACAATGCTCATAGTCATGACCCCTGAAACTTCATCCCATCCCACTGTAGTGCAAGCAGACACAGCCTATATGAAGAACAATGCTGCTCTGACGTCTGGAGCAGTGCAGCAGCATTGTCCCCACATCCCTGGAAGCTGCATGAGGTGGACTTCACTGGCAGGATTGACAGGTATAAGAAGGACTTTGCAGGGGGACTAAGAGAAAATGTTAAAGCTGGTCTTACGCTGTTTTATTGTTTAGCCTGCAAGTTAAGAGTATAGATGGGCAAATTACTTGTGCTATTGTATGCTGACAGCCAGGACCACTAGCTGTCAAGATCCAAACAGCAGCTGCATCAAGCATTGACTGACGATTCGCAGTGTATAGCATGCTTAAGGGGAAGACCATAGTTGAATTTTAATGTAGGAAGATAATTAAAGGTTAATAACTGGTTGATTGCTAAAGTTTATTCCTATTGTGGAACTTACACCATGGACCTTAATTATCAAAGTGTGAAAACAAGTATTATCTGTTGCCCATGAAAGCTAGGTTCATTTTTAAACCTAGACTGCAAATGCAAAAGGTTACATTGAGAAACACAAACTAGTTTACTTTACAATGGTTGTAAACCTCAGACACGAAATCTGAACAAAGTACATATTTCTATAATATTTACTTGCCTCTCTCCAGAGCACTAAACGCCATTTTGTTCTGCTGACTAGTTCCCCTGTTATCAGCATGAGTCACTTCTGACAAGTTTTCCTGACACCAAGAGAAAAATGGTGACAGGGGAGGGATCTCCAGCTGATTGACAGCCTCGGCTCTGTTTCTGTGTGCTGTGTGAATGGAGGTGTGTTCCTTCCCTCCAATCAGCTCTCAGAGCTTTTGTACAGTGTGTAACTGCAGCTCTCCACCCTCTGCTTTGTGAGTCTGTGAAAAATTATTTTTATCTCTGGGTTTTCCAAGGATGTACAGGGCAAATGGCTGCAGATAAACTCTGTATCTGTGTATCACTTAAGGCCAGTTACTTAGTAGGGTTTACAACCAGTTTAAGCATCATAATAAATATGACAATGACTAACACTCCTACATGCCTCATAGGTCATCACCTCCAAATGCAGCCGCTGTTTTGGATGTTCTTCTGTTGTGGAGAGAGACCGGTGGATTGAAAATCTTCGAAGAATTGTGCAACCAGATAAGGTGAGCAAGTTAGTGTTTATGCAACCATAACCCAAGTGTTCTAAATATAATTTGCCAGGTTCATAAACCCATTTATGTTTGCTTTGCCCAGGATAATTTTGAGCGTGAAGAGTCTTCTCTCAGTCTGTGGATCCATGAAGCCAAAGGTCTTCCCAATTCAGGTCCTGGCTCTCGTGCCTGTTACTTCTGTGAGGTCCACCTTGATGGTTCTCTTTATGGCCGAACCTCAAGCAAAGCACCTGAGTCTGGAGTGGTATTCTGGGGAGAGAACTTTAATCTAAAGGACTTGCCCTCTTCTTCAGGACATGTTGCACTGCATCTTCTTCGAGAAGGGAAAGAAGCCACTGGTGTTGGAACTGTAACATTGGCTTTGGAAGGAATGAGGGAAGGGTAGAGAGATGGGTGCCTCTTGGTGGAGAGGTGACACTCAGGTTACGAGGAAGGTACAGGAAGCTCTGTGTTCTTCCCTTGGTGCAGTACAAGGAATTTGCAGAGTATCTTACCTGGAAGTACCTTAAGCTAAGCCGAGCAATGGAGCCCATTCTGAGTGCACGGGAGAAAGAAGAGCTTGGAAGATCACTTATCTATGTCCTACAGAGTACTGGTCAGGCCAAGGTGAGATCTAAGCTTTTCTGAATTTTAAAATAAAACTATATGCTATCCATTTTTATATGTAATATGGACATGTGTAGGATCATCAAAGTCACTGGATCTGACTTTTTCTTTTCCTATGCATTGTTTTTCAGGAGTTCCTGGTGGACCTCGGTACAGCTGAGCTCACACGTTATGACTTCCAAGAATCATTAATATTCCGTGAAAACACTATTGTCACCAAGGCCATTGAAGAATACATGAAAATGGTGGGACAGATGTACCTTCAGGAGACCCTTGGTGCGGAGAATGAAATCCCTCACTAAACTACACACATTAAAATAAAGCAGGTCTCATGAGATGGGGAATAGAGCTCCATGTGATAGTAATCAGGGCTAGAATGATTTGCTAAGAGAAGCAGGAGCTCAGCTTACAGGAAGTCTTTTTTCCTATACAAAAATTACACATTCATCAAGTTTAATTATAAAAAAATAAAACTTGTATCCTCAAGACCCTTAAAAAAATTCCATTATGAAGCAACCTCTTATTTGCTTTAATGGGGAAAAAAATATTTCCAGATTCCAAAAACCACACAGACAAGCCTTTTGGATCAACCAATGATGTTTCTCTCTTTCAATATATGCCTTTTAAAAACAAAAATATCTTGTCAGCCTAAAAACAACAGACTAGCATTGCATGAGATCATTAAAGCAAAACTCAACTGTATCTAAGTATCACAAACTGAAAATGCTATTTAATTCATTTTTAATATTCAAAGCAATTGCACCTATCCATCTATGTCTCGATACTTTATTTTGTTGCGAAACTGTTTTGAAAAACACCCCCTAGCATTGCTAACCTTAGCCATCTTGAGTAAGGGCAGATGATTCACTTAGCATTTACTTCCCATAATCCATCTGCCCTTAGCTCAGGCATGTCGATAGGAGGTTGTGCTTAGCTGAGAAAGTCCCTCCTCCCCTCCTTCAGATAAAAGAATAAAAAAGACTCCTGAGAAGTATGACAACCAGGAAGCTAATGAAATGTAAAAAAAAAAAGTATAAAACAGGTAAATGTATGATACCTTCCTACCTTTCCACCCCATTTCTCCATCTCGTCCAATCAGAGAACACTTTGCATTCATTCAAAGCAAGCTCTGACTGGCGCCCAAGCTGAGCAGCACACATTCTGTGTTCATAATGCCGCTAAGCATGGGGCCCAGAAGCAAGAGGAGATCACTGTAGTGGTGTCTACTTCAGTGATTTCCAGCTTCCAGAGGCTACGGTCAGGTATGGTATATTCGTAATGATGTATAAAAAATATCCATACATGATGACAGCCGAGCAGGAACCCTATTATCCTGAGAGGACATCAAATGAGGACGTTATCTCCTGGGAGAAGAAAGGATCAGATAAGGATCACAGTCCAGTTTTAATAGGCCTTTTGGCATTAGTGCCTGTATGTGTGCGCGTGCATAAGTGCATGCGTATATGATTTCAGTATACACTAATATGTTTGCGTGTGTGTGGCAACACCTGTTTTGCATTGAGCTTTTGCTCAGAATTATGAACATGCGCATACGTATGAGCATGTGCCAGCCTTCTTGTGCCAACATGGACTGAGCTTCTCTTACACAAAATGAGCAATTAACTCTTGCAGTGCAGACGCAGACCCATTTCAAGAGATCATTTTTTATTTGCCTGGAATAGGGCTTCAATGAATACAGAGCTGCATTCATTTCTGTCTTTTAATCTGCCTGGAACCTAGAGATTTCCCTAATTTGTCCAGGCTAACAGTGAAACAGCGCCCCTAGTTACAATGTATAGTTTATATACCTGATACATAGAAACTTTATTTTCCAAAAAGTAATTGATGGCTACATAAAGTTTCCCTTTGAGGAAAAAATATTGATTTCCATCTGGCAAATTAAATAATTATATAGTATTCCTCTAGGTTTTTTGTTGCTTCTTACTTTGCTTGCACTTAGAAAATGTATTATCACCCATGAAAAATATGTCTTAAAGTATAACTAAAGGCAAAAATGTTTGTGTTAGTTTAGGATAGAGTGCAGGAGGATAAGAATGCTTATCAGTTTTCTTTTGCAGTTTGTGCCCCCATTAAGGAGCTTCACCCTCTCTATTTTTCCTTTTTACCTTTATCATTCAAAGTGAAAGTAAAAGAAAATCCCAAATGTTGGCTTGTTCCCAGAAAAGTAATAAAAGGGTAAACTTGCCAATGGGGACACTGCTCTGGTGACCTGGGGAGCCCCAAGGAATTCCCTTAATTTGCTGGGATTTTCTCTCACTTCCTGTTTTGGCTATGGGACAGGAAGTGAAGGGGAATCTCCGCAACGGGACACAGATGGCAAACAAAAAGTCTGAGGTTATAACCCTCCTTTATCTGTCCAAAGTGAAAAAAAAAACATTTTGCCAATAGTTCTACTTTAAGATAATGAATTGGAATCTGTTTTGTCCCCAGGCCCTTTTGTCTCTCGTATATATGCCTCAACAGACAGCCATGAAGTTGACCCCCTGCGCTGTTCCCCAGAAGAGCTAAATGAGAACAAAGAGCATCTGTGGCAAAGCTGTGAGGAAGCTGTGCAGAGTATTCTAGAGTCACAAAGGTACGTTACAAAATTGTGCTTCTTACACTGTTGATATGGACCTCATCCTAAAGAGGGTTAAAATATCCATGTGATGACCCAGGCTGGAAAATTAGATTCAAACTTGTCCTGCAAAATGTCTGAGACAATATAAGATACATACAAGATAACTTTTTGCTAGTTAGGATGTTAGGAACCCTGCCTTGTTTTCACAGCTATGATAGTAGATATTTCTTCTCCAAGTGGCTATGTTCGTTCTCCATGGTCCCATTGTATGTAGGAACATAGCCACCCTCTCTTGCTCACTCCCGAGATGGACAAGGGACTAAGGACTATGGGAATTGTAGTGTGCAAGAGTAGTGTATATAACGACAAGTAATGTCCACTTCTCCTTCTAAACAACCAATCGGAAAAGGAGGATAGAGGACATCACAAGGAGGCAGAAAAAAACAGTAAGAAACAATTCTATAAAAAAAATAGCTTAAAGGTTCATGTGGATGTGTATAGATTATTTTTAGAGAATAGGTACATTTTTTAGTGTCACTTCAACCAGTTGCAGTACTTTGTGGGCACAGCAAAGTACCTGTATGTTCCTCTCCTCTTCTGGATACAGGGCGTGTTTACGTGCTCCTGCCCACAAACATCCACTGTGCTTGTACACAGCGAGAGTTTGTCAGCAGGTCCCAGACAATGATTCAAGGCCAAGACCTGCTGAACAGCTTGTGTCCAATCACAGCCCAGAGATCTGTGTTGACAATCAACACAGGTCTCTGTACAGAGGGAATGATCTCTCTTTCTTCACCCTACAAAGCAGGCAGAAAAAAACAAAGAGATTTTTAGTAAAAAGCAGCACAAATTACACAAATTAACACTTGTTAGGCACACACTTAACCCCTTGATTGCCCAAGATATTAACTCCTTCCCAGTGAGTGCCATTAATACTGTGACAGTGTATATTATTATCACTGATCGCTTTATTAGTGTCACTGGAGATGTCAGTGGCGGTTAGACAGTTCCCACCCAGTCTCAGTGTCAGATTGCCCACAGCATGATCACAGTCTCTGATCGCCGCCATTAGTGGTATAAAAAATAAATAAATAAAAATTACAGTATATATACCATCATTTGTAGACACTATAACTTTCATGCAAACCAATCAATATACACTTATTGGGATTTGTATTTACCAAAGACATGTAAGGCATTAATCATTTCTAACTATATCTAAAACTAAATAAAAAAGTTTTGGCTGGACATACAGTAGGGTTAGAAGGGTGAAATTGTCCCTCATTCTGAACATTCTCTTTCCACCTTTATGTAAACAGCTAGTAAAAAAAAGTCCTTATTCTATCTTTATTTTTCTTCTAATTACAGGTTTTTCCCTCCAGAGCTATTGGCTGTTTTCTCAAGCTGGCAGGAGAAAGTAGCTATGTGCGACAGACCAGAGTTGGGTTCTCAGATGGTTAGCGCTTGCCTCTTCTTGCGGTTCCTATGTCCTGCTATTCTCTCCCCAGGACTGTTCCACCTCTCTCCTGAACATCCCAACCCTCTTGCTGCACGTTCTTTGATCCTGGTAGCCAAAGTCCTACAAAATCTTGCAAACTTTACAAGGTGAGCATCCACAGCTGACACTATATTATTCATATATGAATCAGTCATGATCCAACAAATTATTGGTCAAGTTTTAAGTGTGAAACTGAGCTTAAAGTGTTCGTAAACCACATTTGACATCATGCCTTACTTTATACAATTTTCTTAAGCAAACTAATTTTTGTGATTCTGTTACAAAGTTTCTTACCTGAGGATTCTTCTAGTAAAAGCACTTCCTATTATAGGCTGCTAACTGTAAGCCACTGCCTTGCAATTAACACTAGTGTTGTCAGTCTGCCACGCAAAGCTCTTTTAAGCCGGCCATAGATGGATCGAATCTCAGCCAGTTGAGCAGGGACCCATGGTTGCAGGAAAGAAAATTGCATAATCTATGGCTTGCCTAAATTTATGACTGGGCTGCCTGATAGGCCTATCTCCCCATTCATGGGAATTTCAAATGTAATTTTCTAGAATTTGCATGTTTTGCATGTTAGGCATCTCTGCATTATCCTTTGGATGAGGTAGAAAAGGGATTTATCCTCTAAGGCTAAACCATAGTTACAGTTTTGATTTACCTTTCTCATTAGTGATTTGATGTCAAGCCCTGTCCTTTTCAATTCAACTTTCAACTACCAGAACTGAAATGGGCAGTAGAGGCTCTGGAATCTGATAGTTGAGTAAGAGGGTTAGGATATAGTGCCAAAAGGAGGTTGGGCCTAATCTGGACTTGAAGAGGAGCCAAGACCATGTGTACAGTCTGGGCATAAGATCTAGGTGGCTCCACAAGGAATGTATTAAAGACAAGCACAAGTACTTTAATTGCACCACAACATGCTTGTACTTCAACACCATTGTTACCCTAGGGGCACATTGAAAACCAACTCAACTTCACTTTTTTTTCCAACTTGTATTTATTAATGTTGTAAATAAGAGATACAAAACAGAGCCTCTGGGCATTCCCTGGCTGGAGGTAAATGCAGTGAAAACACTATAAAGATAACAAAACTGAACAGAAAACCAGTTGCTCAATATCTCTTTACCATAGGGTTACTAGCAAGCATAATCAGGAGAGATTATAAAACCAAGGCAGATTGCACAGGGCACAACAGATGCAGTTAATAAAGAGGGGGCATGTGTGTTAGAACAATTCTTCCAAACTAAACACAGTCCAGGATTAATAGAAAGTGTCCCAGGGGCATCCAGCAAAGATAAACATTCTCAAGAAGAAGTGCAACTACTTGGACAAAGCAGTGGTTTGTTTAGTCCTTTACCTCCCCCCCTGTTAAGCTACTATATCATGTTTCTGGTCAAGAGGGGTCGCCATCAATCGTGGAGGATGACTCCAGCCATATATCCCAAATTTAATGAAATGTTTCTTGGACAACCTCTAGACAGGTTCGTTAGCTTATATAAAGGTATAACTGAATAAGTCAAGTTCACTTTAAGCAAGCTTATGGACCCCACTCCCTGATTCAGAGATGACCACTAGAGGAATAATTTATCATTCTGTAAATGATGTACTGTAATCAAAATATTAAAATGTGAGCATATGAAAAATGTCTTATTACAAATTAATTCAAGGTCAAAGAAGGCTTTAATCAAACAAAAAACTTTTGATATAGACTATGCCTGCTCTGCATCGTTCCATGAAAAGTTACCACTGTTTAATATTTTATCTGTAGGGACTTAGTTCACCAAGAAGCTATAAAGAACAAACAGCTTACTGTGATAGGGGAATTTGTGAACAGAGTGAAATATTGAAGGGCTAAGCTCTTACAGGAGCTGTCTTATTGTAGGCTGGGACCAGAGCATATTGGTTTCGACTGTAATAGATTCAATTCACAAAGCCCTAACATGTTCCTGACTTGGTAGAGCTAAGGAAGCTTCTAGGATGAATGGTGAAACAACTTCAAAATTACAGAACAAGTCCATCTGAATGTGACTTCTATTAGCGCTTAACCTGGATGAGTGAGAATCTTTAAGAACAACATAAAGATAAGAATCTTTATATTTTGAAGTTTAGAATCTTCAGACAATAAATTGTGTGAATATTCCAGTGAAGTGAAATGAAAATTACCCTTTTCTTTTTTTCATGTGCACATGATTAGGTATTCAAAGTGAACAGGAATTTTCCTTTCACAACTTGATAATTTAGATGAATGTCACACAATTAATTGCATGAGGATTCTCAACTTCTTTAGTAAGTTAGCCCAAATGTGTCAAAAAAGATATATTCTTATAACATAGTGCATTACTTTCTTCTAATATTTGGTGTTACCAGATCAAAAGGGGAATTCCAGGTAAGTATTGAAAACCTTCTTTTTGTTGAAGTATATATTCAATCAAGATGAATGAAATATATTTGAAACATTCCTAGTATAACTACATGAAATCTTTAAAATGTGCTTCCATAATGTCTTTGACTGTAGAAATCAGACTGAGGAGTGGGTATGCCAATACTGTGGGGCAATTTGTCATTGTACAATGCTGCTATCCCACCAGGTGTTGGAATCTGGAGAAGTAGGTGACAAAGGTCAGTTTACAGAATGAGAGAACAAGGAGGACCTCACCAGTCGGGTGATTTTCATTTATTCTCCAGTGAGTAGTTTAGAGGCAGGGATACAACACAGAAAGTTGTATGTTTGCAATAAGGAATAGCAGTGTTACCTTTGTTATTATACAGGATTTATATATCGCCAACAGTTTGCTCAGCGCTTTACAATATAAGGGGAGACAATACAGGAACAATACAGTTCAATGCAAGAAGGATAGGAGGGCCCTGATCCTTGGAGCTTACATTCTAGGACCTTTTAGTAACCTTGTATCTATAAAACACTCTATATGACTATCATAACAACACTTCAGGATGGATTATGTTCTTAAATGTTGCACTCCACAGGTTCGGAGAAAAGGAAGACTACATGGCATTTATGAATGGCTTTTTGGAGCAGTATTGGGATGGGATGTCTGTTTTCCTTCAGACTGTCACAGATCCAGACAGTGAGGTGTCACCAGCCGGTTATGAGGGCAGCATTGATCTGGCTTATGAACTTGCTACACTTCACTTTATGCTATGTGGTATCTTCAAAGGAGTTCATCAGGTATGTATTCAAATATGTTGAATATAATTGTTAAATAGAGCATTGTAGCCTACACCCAACATTACATATTATTAAATATGTTACACTATGTGTTCCTTCTGTGGTTGCATTGGTATTACCTGCCTGCAAAAAGCCCATTTGAAGTTTTACATGTGTTATTCACCCTTAAAGTCCTGCATATTATGATTTTTAACTGATTTTCCATGGCAATGGCTTAAAGTACCTTGTTCTGCAAGTGGAAGTGGTGTAATTCCAGCCCACATACTGTACTGTAGATGTTTCCAGCATTCACAGCAATCTTTTGTCTTGGGAATGGTCATATGGGGGTTTATTTACTAAAGCTGGAGAGTGCAAAATCAGACTCACTTCTGCATAGAAACCAATCAGCTTCCAGGTTTCATTGCCAAAGCTTCATTGAACAAGCTGAGGTTAGAAGCTGATTGGTTTCTATGCAGAAGGGAGTCTGATTTTGGACTCTCCAGCTTTAGTAAATAAACCCCTTGCTATCTAAAGCTAGCCATAAACTGTTAGTTTCTTTCATTCAGCCAGCAGGCACAAATGAGGTGGATGAAGGAATGCTCATTTTCCACATGTTCCTTTGACAGAAGTTGATCAAACAACTGACTACTGTCAAGCGAGGATAGCCACATACTGAATATAATTCAGTCAGTGTATGGCCAATTTAAGCCTTTGGAATAAGTTGGGAATGCTAATGCCTTTTGTGTTACACTGGGAAGATTTCTATTGACTTCTTATCCAAAAGCTTTCCATTAAGTATTATCAACTGAATCATAATAATGATTACCAGCGATTTTTACCAGTCCAGAAATGTATAAAGTATTTTTATTTCTGGTTTTCAGCAAACCAAAGAACAACTAGAGCCATTGCCTACAATCCTCAAGGCCCTAGCAGAAGGCCTCCCTGTCCCAGAATGCATCACTCAGGATCAGAGGTAAGCAGCAGTATATAGATGTTTTTTTATTTTTTATTTTATTTATTACAGGTATTTATATAGCGCCGTCGATTTATGTAGCGCTTTACATATATATGTATTGTACATATCAGTCCCTAACCCTCAAATCTAAGGTCCCTAACTTACATTCATATACATACTAGGGCCAATTTAGACAGGAGCCAATTCACTTACCAGCATGTTTTTTTGAGGTGCCGTGGTTGGGATTTTAACCAGCGCCCCTAGTACTGCCAGGCAGAAGTACTAACCATTTAGCCACTTGTGCAATTTTTGGTGAAAATAAAAGCATTTAAAATCAATGACCTGAAAACAAAGATTATATATTTCATCAACGTCTATAAACCTGGCTTTAATAAAATCTCAATTTCAACAGATTAATAAACCTTAATATTGTGTATTTTTTTCTTATTACTGTATACAGAAGCAGTGTCTGCATAGCCCTGAAAAGCTGTCAGTCATTTCAGCATTCAGTTTATTTGAAGTCTAGTCCAGCCTCTGGTTACACCTATTTTTAAAATTTTTTCGTCTTTTCTACAGTTCATATAAGGAAAAAAGATAGAATATGACCCCTATACACTTTTGGTATTATACGATATTTATTGTACAAGACATAATTAGCTTTGGATCGCCATAGAGTTTGGAAGCACCGTGCCTTCACCACCTTCTGTGGGTCTAATCCCCATTCCACAGATTATTTTCCCATGTTGCTGGCTCTGACAATTTCGAGACAATTGTACTGTATGTGAGCAGTAGAGTTTGCTGTAACCACCAGAGAGCACTAAAACCACAAGGCCCACGTCCACTAGCACTCTGGTGGATTGTGGCGTACAAACATAGTGTCAGCACCTGTGGTAGTGAGCTCTATTGATCCTCAACTTGGGGTTCCCCAGGGCGTGGAGTCTAAGCCCCAGCCTGCTTGTTCACCAGAGCCCCTGATGGTGGGGATGGACTTGCAGCAGACTGGGACCAGGTCGCAGCCCCCAGGTACACCCAACTGAGGTGGAGGAGGCTGCTTGCGGGAGCAGAGTACAACAGGAGAAGACAAAGGGGATCCAATAGACAAGCCAAGGTCAGGACAGGCAGAAAACAAGCAAGGTCGGGAACAAAGCCGGGGTCGGTACACAGATAGACAATATAGGATACACAGCGGAACCACATGGGAGCTCCAACAACTAAGCCGTTGCTCAGGCAAAGTGGCCTAGTCTGAGCACATCTTATATAGACAGGCAGACAAGGAGGCGGGACAGGAAGTGATGGAAGGGAAGGAAATAAAACCCAGAGGACAGCAGATGATGCCCATAGGTGAGCACAGACAAACATGAGAAGGAATCAGGAACAGGGCTGCAGCAAGAAGGTAAGAACACAAACAAAACTGCAGGCTAACTTCTGACACATAGCATTATTGTTAAGATGAAAAAAACCTTGCTCTTTTCTACTAGTCCTTTCTTAGCCCTACTTCCAATAGGATTCAATTGGGAATACCAGTCTTTGTCAAGGAAAGTTTGTTTTTTTCAATTGAAATGTGTCAGAAGGTATGCAGATCAGGAAACTTCCATTTATAATAACTACACTATCTGCATGCTTGTTCCGGGTCTATGACTTTGAAATTTGTGACAACCAGGTAGCTGGCAATTTTGGAGAAAAAATAGAAGTGACAATCCCCTTTTCTCTCAGGCTTTACTTAGGCCCCGTTAATATCATTTTAAGAGTGTTGTCAGATTACAGAGCCTATCTGACTTTGCTACCTGCTAGCCACTCCATAAATACGAACAGGTGATTTTTCCAAGCATTCGCAATTGTACATTGGTAGTAGGGATAGGGTGAGAATAGGTAATCTCAGCCAGTGACACTTATGTCAAGGGGAATTAGAGATGGATTAGGGCTGAATGGGGCACTGTGCAAGGTAACTGCTCCACCAACCCCCCACCTCCACCCCCCTCCCCCATCAACTCAATTGACATTGATAAGAACTACAACAGGCAAAGAAAAGCTGTCTCAATTGTATCTACTGGCATAGCTGACCCTATTGAACATCAATTAAAACAGCAGTTTACTGCAGGAGAAGGTTTATCTAGGTTATGGACATCCACTTTGTCCTTGGCTCCTGCCTAGCATTCCCTATTGATGATCCAGTTCAGGTCCAAATGACGCCACTCTTCCTGCTTCCCCAGAGCATTCAATGAGCAAGCATCTTCTGGTTTCATAAACATTAGATCACTGTCTGATTGCCCGTGTTTCTGGAATCTCATATCTAAAGCCAGCATTAGATAATTAGCTTTTGCAATCAGGGAACTCATTCCCACAAGACTTATCTTGTCTTTGCAATTGTATTGTTTTTGTTACATGGTATTATGCTGTAGATTTTATACATTGCCTTTGTGGGGTACTGTACACAATTATGGCAAAAAAACATATTTGTTAAGTAGAGGATAGAAAGAAGCACAAATATTGTCATGAGATGAAGTCAAACTTTTGCTGTAGAGGTTACCATATGAAGAATAACACCCCATTGCGTGCTTTTCCCATAGTCAGGAAGAGAGTGAAGAACCAGAGTACATGTTTCCTAAGGACATGAGAAATTTCCGTCCTCTTGTGAAAAAGTGTCAATCGCTCAGCAGCCTAATGAGGGAACAGCTGGTACCCCTGCCAAGGATTGAGGAAAGGGGAAAGAAGAACAGACGTCATGTGACCCGCACACAGAGCGTTCCTGCACAGAGCAGACCAGGACGAGAGCGCAGGACAAGGGCAGATAATAACTCAGTGGCTGATAAAAATCAGGAGGATATTGCAAACACACTGTAAAGGTGCCATAAGGAATTATGTCATAAGTATTGTTTAGATGTGTATGTAACTGCTTCCCCTTTGTGCACTGTTGGGTTGATTTGCTAAAAAATAGAGGCCATTCACTTTGAATAGTAGGTGATTATTTAGTAAATAAGTACCCAATCTATATGAGATCTCTGTGCTGGCTGGCCATGTATTAGTGCGGATAGAAAAAAAAAAAACTAATATAATTATGCCTAATTTGGACAAGCATTTGCATCATTGTTGACACATGCTCCAAATTTTGGTGATTCTAACAAATGCCACTTTAGGAACCTGTTGCTATGAGGACAGATTTTTAAGGGATTAATTTGCAGATTAGGAAACTGGCAGTAATTAAGGACATCTTTGAGAAGGCATATGAAGGTACGCCATTGTTCTTAGTGGGGCATGTCTGTGCTGGTAAACGGGCATGTTTGTGACATTTTCCCACACAGGACTCTATCACTGGTCCCATTCAGGTAACAGCCAGGAGATACCCTGACTAAAAATTAAATGAAAACAAAAGGGCTGGGGATATCGGTGATGTCATTACCAGGGGCGGACTGACAACTCATGGGGCCCCTGGGCAATAGGGGATCATGGGGCCCCTGTGTCCTTGCTCAAACTCAAAAAGGCCTATAAAAAAGGTACCAAGAGCATCTCATGGGGCCCCTTAGTGACCCCGGGCCCTCGGGCAGTGCCCGAGTTTCCAAATGGTCAGTCCGCCCCTGGTCATTACACAATTATGTAAAATGCCCATATTTGGGAAATTGGCTTGAGCCACAGAGGTGGCAGACCTGATGGTGAACTAGCCGCCATGGCTGCAGTGCTTTTTCAGTAAGCAGAGCCTGATAGGGAACTGAGAGACTGACTGATGGATGAATAGATGGCAGACTTTCTATTGACTGACAATGGATGGCAGTGAGCAGATTCGGAAGCCACTATTAGAACAAATAGCGGCTATGGATCTGCCCACAGCTGTGCACTGTCAATTAGCAGCAAGGTGGACTTTCTTTCAGTTCCCCATCAGGCTCTGACCACCACACTAAAAAATTCGTTAGCTATGTGCCTGTCAGTGTGAAGGGTGAAGTGGCCAAGGAGGAAGTGCATTACAGAGGGGATGTCCAGTATGGACATTTTAACCTCAATGCCAGGCTCTGACAGATTTATGTACCAAAATTCAGTGCGACAGGCCAAAAAATCCTGAAGGATGTCTTTGTTACCCTTAATGAATTTCCGCAAATTTGCATTCAGAATATCCACCACGGAAGATTTGTATGTAGTCAAATATTAAAAAATATTCAACTGAAGAGCGACAGTATCTGCATCAGCTTAAATCCTGATGAAGGAGATGCTTCTGTTCCGCAAATACATTGACTGACAACTTGTTTCCCTGCTACTGAACCACATGTCCATGCACAGGATCTTCAGGGACCCACCATAGCACTGGCCATGAGTAATCAATGTCTTAGCAACAAACTATCCAGCATCAGATTTGGATCTCATTCTGCCCTGAATACCATCACTTGCCAATACTCACTTTTCAGCATGAAGGACCAATGCCATCTTCTGTTCCCACCCAGCACAAGTAAACAAGTTATGGACAATTACTGTCTCTACTATATTGCTACTTTTTTAGATTGTTATCCCCTCCCAGTAATTAAACCAGACAGTTTATTATATGACTGGATATAAATCTTCTGTGGTGTATATTCTATAGGTAAGGTTTATGATTGGACATATTGTGCAACATCTAAATCTAAGAACGGAGCGTTCACTCATTTTGTAAATCAACTCCTCTATGTTTTGGTGTCTGAACAATAAACCATGTGGTCATCTTAGTGTGATAATGTCATAAATTTGTGCTCTGTGATCAATGCTGGATTACCAAATACATTGGCAGAGTAGGTACTGGCCTATGGGCCCCATGCTGTTTAAGGGCCCTGCAGAAACAGATGAAAATAATATTTATTTGATCTTGAAAGCTAAATGAAAATTAAGCTTTCTCGAATGATAAAATAGAAAAAAAGTAATTAACCTTTGCCTCTTAGATATGTTTCCAGTGACACCATTGATCTTTTTAGCCATCTGTAAGGGATTCATTCTTCCCAGCAACCACAAGTGTAATGAGCATTCTTCTTTTGACCATTTCACTAATGTATCATGAGTTGTAGACATAGTCATTTTTAGCAGGTGTTCCCTGAGACCAGAAAGTTATTTCAAGGGTTCCTCCATGTTGAAAAGGTTTAGAAAGGCTACTATAGAGAAATACTGCATTAATATAAAGTACCCAATAACAACTTAAAGTACATAAACCATAGACATCAGGTTCACATTACAGTTTGTCTCTTAAAAGCTCATCTTCTTTCAACTGTCAGTTTGTAAAACATTTTGGTGTAACCTACATACGTGTACTACATACAGTAGTGATGGTCATCTCCATCTAGCGGCTGATGTGGACACTACTTAGTTTAATGTTATACCACAAGATTACGCACAAACCTGTTAGGAGGGCCTCAAGGTTTTAACTGCCTAGAGGCATCCACAGAGCTTAATCTGACACCGTCTGGGACATTTTCAAATAGAAATTTATGTCCTCAATACTTTCATGTATTTGGATTCTCTACTAATAGATTTACACTTATTGGGGTTGATGAACTAGAGGAGTACTGCTCTCTTAGTTAAGGTAGATAAGGTAAAAGGTCAAATGTCTAGTTATGTGCAAGGAAATATATGGATTTTTGATGGCACCTAATTGGTTACTTGAAGAGAACACAGATTCACCACTTTTACAAAGTTAAGTAACTTTCATTTTGCTAAATGAAAAGTCTCTAATTCTTCACTAATTCAACCCTGTTCTATCATAGGAACAATAACCTCCTACCACAGTTTTGTGGATAGAAAGGGAGATAGACAGGCAGAAGGAACGGGTTACAGTGGTAGATTGACAAGTTGTCATTTGTCACTGTAATAAATGCTAGAATAATGACCTTTGTGCTTTCACTATACAGAGAACACCACGGCTTCGACAATCATCCACTCTTCCCAGGCGAAAGTCCACTGTCCCATGGTGCAGAAATGAGGACCATCATCTCATTGAACCAAAGAGTGAGGAAGAAGAAAGCCAGGTATGACTTTAGAAGTTAGTGAAGTTGGAACATTAGAGTGTAAGTCCATGTTTGTTCAGGAAAAGCCTCCCCAGGTCAGTTTTTATACATTGCAAGCTTTAGCAAGCTTCATTGCAGATGCCTACCTATCGCTGCTATAAAAAATATTAACACATGCATGTCATTCACTACCTGTGTGGTACCTGCTACAGTCACATAATCAGTCCTAGTGTTGTAATAAGAAAACAACTGCATGGATAGCACAGAACCAATCAGATGAACAGAAAATCATAATTTTGGAGGTGCTCCTTCCACAAGCACTGTACTGAACAATCCTGAATACACCAAGCTGGCAAGGAAGGAAGCGCAAATCAGTTAATAATACTCTCTAAGCCAGTAGACTAGGTTATGAATCTACTATTTTCTCTATTATTTTCAATCAGTTGAAAACTAAAACGCCTCCTGTATAATGAAATGTTGTGAAAAATTAACATTGTAATTATTTCCTTCCAGGAGATACATCTGCAGGAGATGAGGGGGCAGATTGCTGAGAATCTGGGTAAGCAGAAGGACCTGGAGGGGCAGCTTCTGATCATGACAGAGAAGGTGCAAGAAGTCATGAACCAGCTGGCTCGAATGGAAGAGATGTACCATGCATTACAGGCTGAGATGACTGAACAGATGAGCACAATGCAGAAGAGGTACCAAGTCACACTTCTGTTATTAACCTCTATTAAATCCAAAAACTGTTACATGAAAGGTTAAAGTGGTTGTAAACCTTGGACATGAAATATGAACAAATCCTATCCCTCTATAGTATGCTTGTCTCAATCTAGAGCACTAAGTGTCATTCCTGTCTGCTGCCTCGTTCCTCTGCTATCTGCATGAATCACTTCTGACAAGTTTTCCTGACATCAAGAGGTGAAAAAGTCACAGGGAAGGGAGTTCCAGCACACAACCTGTGATTGACAGCCTCAGCTCTGTTCGTGTGTGTTGAGTGAAGGGGGAGGTGTCCCTTCCCTCCAATCAGCTCTCACTGAGCTGTGCAGAGTGTCACTTTAACTCCTGCCCCCTGCTTTCTGAAAGCTCAGACAAGCTCTACAAATTCTTCACTTTGAACAGATGTAGAGAAGAGAGAGCTTCAGATAAACTGGTACAACTAACATAGGAGGATTTGTTTAATCTCGGTGCATCACCTGTGTAGGTATTAAAAAAACTGAGGCTAAGTAAAAATTTCCTTAATTTTATTGTCATACCTGTAGGTCATTCAGGCCCCCCACCTCTATGCCAAAAAATTCCCAGTAGCAATCCCCTGAAAGTTTTTTGGCCAGGCTTCTGAGGGGCCCCATATGGTCTACAGATAGGACAATACAATAATGTACATTTTACAAAGTTGTACAGATTTTTAATATCTACTGGCGTCCCTTGACTGCATAGACTTTTTATGGAAAAGGTGAACTTAGCCTTTAAATTTGAAAAATCAGTTTTGTGAGGTAATTGCCATGTTAAAGCAAAAACTATGATATCTGGGGTGCAGTTAGGACCCCCCAACCTAACAGGACAGCAGTTGAGCACACCTAGCGCTGAGTGGGAGGAAGAAACAAGCCCCCATATACCCAGAATTACCAGTTGTTTTACGTCAGTGTTTCTGCATGAAATTAAAGTGTTACTAAACCCACAACAGTAAAATCAGTCTGTATATGAAGTAAAGCATGTTCATTATACTCACTGTGGAACCAAAGGGGTTAATCCTCTGCATTGTGTAAAAGGGCGGTTTGATCCTGACTTATCTGATCCTCCCCTTCTTCCAGTGTTATCTCCTTATAACACATATTGTGTGGAGACACTCTGCACATGCTCAATTTGGTGTGTATTGCTAGAGAGGTTTTTTTTTTCTTGGGAGAGTGCATGTGATCAGCACAGGGCCAATCAGCACTGTCCTGACAGAGGTCAGGGGTTTTGCATCCTTCTACAGCAGAATGAAAACTCCTCCTACAAGCTTTAACCAGTGCTCTACTGGACACTGATAGAAGTCACAAGACTGCTCTAACTGCTGAGGAGAAAAGGTATTTAGCAGTTTACATTTACTAAAATAACTGCATTTCAATGTTCTGGGCACTGTGGGAGACCAGATATAGTGAATGCAGGGTACTGGGTTTTGTAATACTTTAATGGAAAAATAATATCTGCAGTTGGGGAAGTGCAAGGAGAAGGGCATTTATGTAAATCTGTTACTTTGCCTGCATGGGTATAGCACAAGTTTACTTTATCAGTCACTCTTTGGGCAGCACAAGGTTGTATCCTATCTTATTGCTGTTATGATATATCCAGTTCATTTTTAAGAGGCAAATGCATGAATGGATACAGTGTTGAACAGATAGAAAAGATAAGGATTTAGCAAGGTCTACCAAATTATTATAGATCCACCTCCTTTAAAGCTGAATTCTAGGCAGATATAACAAATGACAATAAATTCTGTTAATATATAAAATATTTTTCTTTCAAAAGCATCTAACAGAGAAATAATGTGTTATGTGCTTAGTCAACATAAAATAGGGGTAAAGGGTGAAATTAGCAAGATAACCTCACTACTTCTGATATACTCCAGTTGGATACTGCCTATGGTTAACCTCCCCCTTTCTCTAATGACTGCCGAATGTCTCATATGTTTTGCACGATATGGTAGAAACGGTATTGTATACCTGTCCTGCACATCTGCCTAGATTCTATGTTTCGCATTTGCAATGTGAAGTGTACTGTTCCTTTTAATTTTTTATTTGTTTTTAAACTGTGCAGTTTTTGTATTTTTTACTTTTCTTTGTATCTTTGTAAAAATCTGGTTAATAAAAATTAATTGATTAAAAAAAAAAAAAATCTAACATAAGTGTTTTGATATTAAGTTCCTATAATTCCCAGGAGAGTACAACCCAAACTGGGAAGGGGAGCACTGGGGGTCAATCAGGTGTGCTTCATGCAGATATGACAGGAGAAGAGGGAGCAGAGTGAGGAGGTCATCCGTGTACTGCTGCTTCCTCACTGTTCAGGCTCAGGCATAGACGTACATTTATTTATTTATTTCAGGTACTTATATAGTGCTGTCAATTTACGCAGCACTTTACATATATATTGTACATTCACATCAGTCCCTAACCCTCAAGGGGCATAAAATCTAAGGTCCCTAACTCACATTCATATACAAGGGCCAATTTAGACAGGATCCAATTAACCTACCAGCATGTCTTTGGAGTGTGGGAGGAAACCGGAGTACCCAGAGGAAACCCATGCAGGCACAGGGAGAACATGCAAACTCCAGGCAGGAGGTGCCGTGGCTGGGATTTGAACCAACGACCCTAGTACTGCCAGGCGGAAGTGCTAATCATTTAGCCAGTGTGCTGCCTACTCAGGATCTCCTGTTTGTACATGTTTTGTATACTTTTTTTTAGAGAAAGTATAACTTAACCCTGCTTTAAACTTTTCCACAACTTTATCCCTGACCTGTCTGGTGTGTTCCTTGGCCTTCATGATGCAGTTTGTTCACAAATGTTCTCTAGCAAACCTCTGAGGACCTCACAGAACAGCTGTATTTATACTGAGATTAAATTACACACAGGTGGACTCTATTTACTAATTAGGTGACTTCTGAAGGCAATTGGTTCCACTAGATTTTAGTTAGGGGTATCAGAGTAAAGGGGGCTGAATGCAAATGTACGTGACACTTTTCAGATATTTATTTGTAAAAAATGTTGAAAACCATTTATTATTTTTCTTCCACTTCACAATTATGTGCCACTTTGTATTGGTCTATCACATAAAACTCCAATAAAATACATTTACGTTTTTGGTTGTAACATGACAAAATGTGGAAAATTTCAAGGGGTATGAACTCTCAAGCACTAAACTTGCCTAGCGTTTTGGCACGTTTAGATACATTTAGGCATATTGGGCATTTTTTTCTGCTGAAATGCTGCCCTCCTGAGTGCGCAACTGATGTTTTTTTTTTTCTGCCTCCAAATGCCTGTGTGTGTATATGTACACATAGGTTACATGGAGGTGTGTTTTAGAGGCAGGAAAAAAAAACGCTAAATGCCCTTAAAAGCGGAGCTTTTGACGCCCTGTTTGCATGAGGATTGGTAAGCTGTAATATACTAGATTTTGCTTTTGGGTTCAAATTAGAATGTTGATATGGAAAGCTGAAGAAATCTTATTTTCATTACCTGTAGACAGATCTAATAAGGGATTGGCTAGAATGGGATATGGGATATGAGACATGGGAAATGGGATATGAGACATAATCGCTGCTGTATTCAAAAGCCACAAAACACCGGGGATAATTCTTTTAATGTATTACTTCACCGCATGTACATTATACTCAGAAGGTATTTGATGTAACTTAGAAATATAGATCTTAGCTTCAGATTCACTCCTTTTACCATTTTCTTTGTTATTTAACAGGATTGATGTCTTGGAGAAGAACTCTGCAGAAGTAAAAAAAGAGAAAAATGAACAGATAGAAGTTCTGGTAAGACCTTATTGTATGCATTTATATACCAGCATGCCTCAATTAACTGTCTCTAGTGCCCCCTAGCTACCATTCACTTGAAATCTGCACCACAATGGACATTTCAAGTGTTAAAGAAGTATTCAACCCAAAACCAAAAATGTAATATATTGTAGCTTACCAATCATTAGATATTGTGGCTGTATTAGTTTTCTTTTTTTAGGCTTTTTTCCCTCTGTTTTCACCTGATGATCTGGCCGGTCACACACCTCCTGTATTAGAGTGCCCTCCCTGGATAAAGGAGCAACAGAGACACCTTTTGACAGCAAAATTGTCATTCTGGGGGGAGGGGAGTGTTAGATGGACTAGCAGATTTAAATACACTAACAAATTAAAGCCAGACTCAATCTAAAACTTTATACGCAGTTACAGCAACCATTTTTTTTTGCTTTTGAGATAAAGGTTTTACATAAATAATCAAAAGCTGATCATTGTAAGCACCCCTGTCAGTGGTAAATGGTTTCTCTCAACCCTCTAACTGCAACATCTGCAGGACAAGCTTGTTTTGTTAATAGACAGCAGAATTACTGGTAAGATTACCAGGTGAAAATAAATGAAAGCCTAAAATAGAAAATAAATGCAACCACTACATCTAAGAATTGGTAAGCTGCAATATAATAAATGTTTGTTTTTTGGTTTAATACCATTTTAAGTAGGAGGCTATCAGACTCTGTGACATGTCCCACCCCATAGTGTATAGAATGGTCCCCTTCTAGGCATATCTATACCATAAAAAATGGTTGTTAGCACCCTGGGCAGTTTGAAGTTTACTCCAACCCTGTCACTAGTACATTTGCTAGATAGACTGGTTGCATTATAAATGTGGGGGGGGAAATACATAAATAAAGGAAGAATCTTAGAGAAGAGGCCTAGGGAGGCCAGTTGCACAGATGTTGTGAGCCTTTTAGAACAAGAAGTAAGGTATTTCACCTTATTCTCCTACCCCTACAGTAAAAGGTTAACATGTTACTAAACACAGTACCCTGCATTCAGTATATCTGGTCTCCCGCAGTACACAGATCATGGAAATGCAATTATTTTAGTAACTATAAACTGCTAAATACCTTTTCTTATCAGCAGTTAGAGCAGTCTTGTGACTTCTATCAGTGTCCAGCAGAGCACTGGTTAAAGCTTGTGGGAGGAGTTTTAATTCTCCCGATTGTCCTGTGGCACATTCTAGTATGCTACTAGAATAGGGTAGTGTATCGTAAGTAAAATAATTGTGTATGACGTATGGTAATTGTATGAGTATGTGATTGAGGTCGGGTTATTGAAGGTCAGCTGGATGACTGAACAGGTTGTGGCTCTATCCCTCCTTCTGACTCTGGAGGACCATAGAACCTTCTAGAAGTTGGTGAGCCGGCAGGGGTGGAGGCCTAATCTGCAAGTTCATGGAAGTCCAGCTGATCCCGGGTTTGGAGGCCCTGGTGGAGTGGGGTCTAGAAGGGGAAAGACTGCCACACATAGCAAGCTTTCTAATCGCTGGGCTCAATCCTTTATCCCTATCCCGGGAGATCTTTTGAGAAGCCAGGAGGGATGGTAGTGTTTGTGGGCCATGGAGCTTGGAGCAGCTCTACAGAGGGAGAGAAAACATTCCTGCAGGCAGTTACGAGAATTTAAGCTGATTTTAAGCAGCGAGTTCCTCACCCATAAAGGGCTGTTGCTATTGATCCGCCATGACTGACAGCTTTCAAGAAAAGAACAGTCCAGGATCTGCCTTTGTACATAGGAAAGAAGTTGTCCCCCCTTCATTGATTCAAGCCAACTGGGCATCCCATAATACCTATTTCCCCATCCAACTTGATTTCCCCTAATAAAACCACAAAGCCAAGCCCATTAACTGGTCACTGTCTTTGGATACATGTCTGTGTGAGAAATACCTGTTGCCTGGCAGATAGATAAGATAGAGCTTAGGGGTACCCACAACACAGCAGCTTCACTAGGGTAACGCTGCAATCCTCCCAAAGAAAAAAAAATTCTCTAGTCATACACGCTAAACTGAGCGTTTGCAGAATGACTACTAGGGCTCTGTACTATCAACAGATGTATTGGGGAAGAAGGGGAGGATTAGACAAGACAGGATTAACCCCTTAGGTCCCACAGTGAGCATAACAAGCATGCTTTACTGCATATACAGACCAGCGGTGGACTGACAACTCATGGGGCCCCCAGGCAATAGGGGATCATGGGGCCCTGTGTCCTTGCCCAAACTCAAAAAAGCCTCAGTGCCTGATTTTCCAAATGGTCAGTCCGTCCCTGATACAGACTGATTCTACTGTTGCGGGTTTAGTAACACTTTAAATTCACCTTTTCCAGGAAATAGCCTACGCAGTCAAGGGGCCCCAGTACAGTAGATATAACAAAAACCGTGTAAAATGTTCATTCGTTATATTGTAGTCTATTTGGGCAACCCCCAGAAGCCTGGCCAAAAAATCTCCCAGTTAGAAATGCCCATGTTCTGCTTTGTTGCTAGGACATGAAAACTGCTGGATACTCACTAGCAGCATAGCAGGAGTGAAAACCAATGGCGATTGCTGGCTTTGCAAACAGGCATGGATAGCTGCAGCCTCCGACAGCCTGCTGCTACTCACACATAGCTGTCAATCGCAGCAGCAGAATTCAATAGATTCCTACTGCTGTTATTCGCAGTGTTGCAAAGCACTAGAACAAATGGTTACCAAGCCTAGGTTCATGCTAGTGCTGCTCCATAATCATGTGTTTTTCAGTGCATTTTTGTAGAGCATTTTTGCACAGTTTTACGTGCATTTGTTTGTACTAGCAAGAGACTGGTTGTTTTACACAAAAACCTGCAAAAAATGCACCAAAATTGCATGTAGCTGCATTTTTCATGCACTCTTATTAAAGTCTGCGCAAACTGTTGGCGCTATATAAATCCTGTATAATAATAAAGTCTATGGGGCTAAAAATGCACTATGCTGTACCAAAAGAAGAACCTGCATTTTACAAAAATCCCACTGCACCATGTTGTATAAATGTGAATGGGCACCGTAGAGAATAATGTGATTTTCATTTGGCGCATTGCAATACGATGGCAGACACACTAGTGTGAGCAGGATCTAAGGCACCAAGCACACAGGGCATTTGCTCAGCTCTCCTAAATGTCTTTCCTCCTGGCAGCAGAATAAAAACATGAGATGCTTGTAGACACATTTAGGTGTGTATAGGTGCATCAACCGCTTGGCCTTTATTCATTACATTGGCCATAATAATTTATTCTGGTCATTGAAATAAATTAGTGCTCAAGAGCTTGATGTTCCTGGCATTAACACACATTTAGATGCACTTACACGAGCAAGTATTTTGTCTGCCAAAACACTGTAGCTTCTACGTGTGCATGGACATGGAGGGGCGTTTACAGGCAGAAAAAAAAAAAACATCCCTAAAAGCAGCATTTTTACTGCTCAGTGCGCATGAGGCCTAATGTTGTCAGAAATAAGATCTGCGACTATTCACTGTAACTATTCAGCTAAAATAAGTAAATGAGTATAAATGATGGTAATAGTTACACAGTTTATTGTATGAACATTCTCTACTCCTTTACTATATCAGCCTCAGAGTCTACCATATCAGCTGTCCTAAAACCATGATTTCTATAAAATAAATGCTATAAGCCCACATGGAAGAAAAATATATTTGAAATGTATTTTAAAAATATTCTTCCCAAATATATTGACATATATTTGAAATACTACAATTTTGGCCATATTCAATATATTTCAAAATATATTTCAATACACACATATATATATATATATATATATATATATATATATATATATATATATATATATATATGCTGCGTGTTGAAATGCAATTTTATTTTTAAAAATATATATATTTTTTAAATATATTCTTCAGATTTTCTTTAAGATATAAAAAAGTCATTTTAACATATATATTTACATATATTTGTAAATGCATTCCAAAAATGTAGATTAAATGTATTTCTAAAGACACTATATTTGAAAATGTATTTTGTAAAATATTCTTCATATATTTCAGAGAGAGAGAGAGATTGAATACGACCAAAATTGTAGTATTTCAAATATATTTATTTCAGGTACTTAGATAGCGCTGTCAATTGATACATATATATATTTTACATTCACATCAGTCCCTAACCCTCAAGGGGCGTACAATCTGAGGTCCCTAACTTACAGTCAGGTCCATAAATATTGGGACATGGACACAATACTAACATTTTTGGCTCTATACACCACCACAATGGATTTGAAATGAAAGGAACAAGATGTGCTTTAACTGCAGACTGTCAGCTTTAATTTGAGGGTATTTACATCCACATCAGGTGAACGGTGTAGGAATTACAACAGTTTGCATATGTGCCTCCCACTTGTTAAGGGACCAAAAGTAATGGGACAATTGGCTTCTCAGCTGTTCCATGGCCAGGTGTGTGTTATTCCCTCATTATCCCAATTACAATGAGCAGATAAAAGGTCCAGAGTTCATTTCAAGTGTGCTATTTGCATTTGGAATCTGTTGCTGTCAACTCTCAAGTTGAGATCCAAAGAGCTGTCACTATCAGTGAAGCCATCATTAGGCTGAAAAAACAAAACAAACCCATCAGAGAGATAGCAAAAACATTAGGCGTGGCCAAAACAACTGTTTGGAACATTCTTAAAAAGAAGGAACGCACCGGTGAGCTCAGCAACACCAAAAGACCCGGAAGACCACGGAAAACAACTATGGTGGATGACCAAAGAATTCTTTCCCTGGTGAAGAAAACACCCTTCACAACAGTTGGCCAGATCAAGAACACTCTCCAGGAGGTAGGTGTATGTGTGTCAAAGTCACCAATTAAGAGAAGACTTCACCAGAGTGAATACAGAGGGTTCACCACAAGATGGAAACCATTGGTGAGCCTCAAAAACAGGAAGGCCAGATTAGAGTTTGCCAAACGACATGTAAAAAAGCCTTCACAGTTCTGGAACAACATCCTATGGACAGATGAGACCGAGATCAACTTGTACCAGAGTGATGGGAGGAGAAGAGTATGGAGGAGGAAAGGAAATGCTCATGATCCTAAGCATACCACCTCATCAGTGAAGCATGGTGGTGGTAGTGTCATGGCGTGGGCATGTATGGCTGCCAATGGAACTGCTTCTCTTGTATTTATTGATGATGTGACTGCTGACAGAAGCAGCCGGGTGAATTGTGAAGTGTTTCGGGAATATTATCTGCTCATATTCAGCCAAATGCTTCACAACTCATTGGACGCTTCACAGTGCAGATGGGCAATGACCCAAAGCAGACTGCAAAAGCAACCAAAGAAGTGGAATGTTCTGCAATGGCCAAGTCCATCACCTGACCTGAATCCGATGGAGCATGCATTTCACTTGCTGAAGACAAAACTGAAGGGAAATGCCCCAAGAACAAGCAGGAACTGAAGACAGTTGCAGTAGAGGCCTGGCAGAGCATCACCAGGGATGAAACCCAGCGTCTGGTGATGTCTATGCGTTCCACACTTCAGGCTGTAATTGACTGCAAAGGATTTGCAACCAAGTATTAAAAAGTGAAAGTTTGATTTATGATTATTATTATTCTGTCCCATTACTTTTGGTCCCTTAACAAGTGGGAGGCACATATGCAAACTGTTGTAATTCCTACACCGTTCAGCTGATTTGGATGTAAATACCCTCAAATTAAAGCTGACAGTCTGCAGTTAAAGCATATCTTGTTCGTTTCATTTCAAATCCATTGTGGTGGTGTATAGAGCCAAAAATGTTAGAATTGTGTCGATGTCCCAATATTTATGGACCTGACTGTACATTCATACATACACATACTAGGGCCAATTTAGACAGGATCCAATTAACCTACCAGCATGTCTTTGGAGTGTGGAAGGAAACCGGAGCTCCTGGAGGAAACCCACACAAGCACAGGGAGAACATGCAAACTCCATGCAGGAGGCGCCATGGTCGGGAATCGAACCCATGATCCATTTACTGCAAGGCAGACATGCTAACCACTAAGCTACTGTGCTGCCCATTTATTGCATTCTCTGCGTCGAGGTAAAAAAATGCAGAAATGAAAGGAAGGTACATATCCTGCTGGAAAGACCTGTATTAAAGTGAACCCGTTTACCTTGCATGAGCACAGCATAGCTTGACTTTAAGATGACTTCTTACCCCGCATTTATAAACCTGCGTCCACCCTTCCCCTCTCATCTTTACCTTTTTAGAACAGTTACTCAAGAGTTGCATTGTGGGACATGTCTAAAAAGTCAGAGTGGCCTCTGACACACCACAGACATAAAAGATAGGATCTTCTGCAAATGACAAAATCCCTTTTTAGAATGTGTAGAAAGAATTGTACAATATATAAAAATAAAGTAGAGGTTTTCTTGAATGTCTACCATCTTGTAGTCTCAGCAGGGGCGGACTGACCATTTGGAAACTCGGGCACTGCCCGAGGGCCCGGGGTCAGTAGGGGGCCCCATGAGATGCCCCTGGTACCTTTTTCATAGGCTTTTTTGAGTTTGGGCAAGGACACAGGGGCCCCATGATCCCCTATTGCCTGGGGGCCCCATGTGTTGTCAGTCCGCCCCTGAGTCTCAGTAAAGCCTATCAATATTTGTCAATATCTTTGGGAAGAATATTTTTAAAATATATTTAAAATATATTTTTTTCTTCAATGTGGGAGTCCAGTACTAAATAATGTGCAAAAGCAAATGCATTGAAGAGATTAGAGCCAAGTGAAATTGTCATGAGAGGTGCATGTTACCATAGGGTAGTCTCTGAGAGATGGAAGAAAGCAGTGAGTTATTCCACTGACACTGGATCACTGTACCACTGGACAAAATGATTTATAATGTATTTTTTTTATATTTGTGATTCTAAAAGGAGAAGCACCTATCATCTTTCAAGAAGAACTGCTGGAAGAAACATGAACATTTCACAAACCCCCACAGGGAGGAAGAGGACAAGATTGAGAATGCTTGTGAAAACACAGATATCATTATGGATTGCGCTATGACAAATAATTCAGATACTGCTTAGACATCATTATCATTGTTTATCAGATGTTTCCATTCAAAAAGCCATCGGTTGTGTCCAACTGAATGTTCCAAAATGTAAAGCCCAACTCCACTTTCAAAAATAAAATAAAAATAAATAAGTAGCCCAGGCCTATGTTATTCCAACATTTCATATTTCTGATATGTCCATCACCAAGCCACCTTTGGCTTCCAGGAAATTGCTTTAGAGAACAGCGCTACATCATTACGTGGAGCTGTTTTCTACATCATTATGTGGAGCTGTTCTCTACATCATTATGTGGAGCTATTCTCTACATCATTATGTGGAGCTGTTCTCTACATCATTATGTGAAGTTGTTCTCTACATCATTATGTGGAGCTGTTCTCTACATCATTATGTGGAGCTGTTCTCTACAGCATTATGTGGAGCTGTTCTCTACATCATTACGTGGAGCTGTTCTCTACATCATTACGTGGAGCTGTCTCTACATCATTACGTGGAGCTGTTCTCTACATCATTACGTGGAGCTGTTCTCTACATCATTATGTGGAGCTGTCTCTACATCATTACGTGGAGCTGTTCTCTACATCATTATGTGGAGCTGTTCTCTACAGCATTACGTGGAGCTGTCTCTACATCATTACGTGGAGCTGTTCTCTACATCATTATGTGGAGTTGTTCTCTACAGCATTATGTGGAGTTGTTCTCTACATCATTATGTGGAGCTGTTCTCTACTCATCATTATGTGGAGCTGTTCTCTACATCATTATGTGGAGCTGTTCTCTAAATCATTATGTGGAGCTGTTCTCTACATCATTATGTGGAGCTGTTCTCTACATCATTATTATGTGGAGCTGTTCTCTACAGCATTATGTGGAGCTGTTCTCTACATCATTATGTGGAGCTGTTCTCTACAGCATTATGTGGAGCTGTTCTCTACAGCATTATGTGGAGCTGTTCTCTACATCATTATGTGGAGCTGTTCTCTACAGCATTATGTGGAGCTGTTCTCTACATCATTCAGGGCCTGCCCATTGCCAGAGGAAGAAGAGGACCTTTGGGGGTTTATTTACTAAACCTGGTTGACCCAGAATCTTGTCCACTTCTGCATAAAAACCAATCAGCTTCCAGGTTTTATTGCTGAAGCTTAACTGAACATGCTAAGGTTAGAAGCTGATTGGCTACCATGCACAGGTGCCCAAGATTCTGAGTCAACCAGTTGTAGTAAATCTCCTATTTGATGTCAAGTGACCAGACCAAAGACCTAAAGAACGATTGTAACTGGGGTTGTAAATGGATACCAGTTTTTTCCTTTTGGTCAAGTACTCACCGATACCCAGTACCAATACCTTTGTGGTGCAAAATGAATGGACCAAATCACACCACACCTGCAGGGAAACCACATGTGATTTGGAAAGGGTCGCATTCTTGAGAAATCTCAGACAAAAAGGAAGGACCGCAAAGGCTCCTAGTGCAGCCAGTAACCTTTATTAAAACACAAGTAAAGTTGCACTTACAATTGTAGGTGTATATAATAAGGAATGTCATGTGTTGACAGTGCGCTGTGAAAGCCCCACTCTACTCTCCTTGCTGCCTGTATGACAGTTCGGCCGCCCCGCTCTATATTGGGCTGTAACATTGACCCAGTGTGCCTCCAAACACAAAGACTCCCACAAGCTGTCAGACAACAGACTAGTGTAATCATCGATATTCTGCCTGTACTTCTTCTGTGAATCACAGGAGTGCAGTTCGTTCTGCACTCCTGCCCGTTTTCAGCGGACAGCAGAAGCACGCCACTCAGCTGGTCCAGGCTGGGGAGAGATCCCAGTTTCAAGTCAGGATCCACCCCAGAGTCTGGAGCGGTACCTGGTTCAGCCTCTCAGCGATCTACTGACAGCCCCCTCACCTCCACAGCCCAGCGCTTCAATGAGTGTGGGTGGGCAGAGCAGACAGTGGTGACTGACAGTCCTCTCTCTGCCCACAGCGGCGGTGAGAACTCAGCGAGCAGTCATGTGATCGATGAGTTCTCACAGAGCCAGCAGGGGACAAATGCAGCATCAGACTGATGCTGCATCCACCTAGGTAAGTATAATTTGGGGAAAAAAAACAAACATTAGAAACCCATTACACATTGTAATGGGTTTCTAATGTGCAATTAAGCCATGGCAGCATCTAATGTTTGTGTAGTATTATGTTCAGCAGACTGTGTTCTTCAATTGTTGTGACTTAGATGATGTTCAGAGCACATTTTATGCCCAATTCATGCAAAACTACACATAATCCCAAGGGGTTCACATACTTTTTCTTGCAACTGTACATCTTCAAACACTGAACGCTAGCTAGTCTTCTTAAAGTAGTATTGCATCTGAAAATGTTTTTTATGTAGATAGAGTTGGTATAGGTTATAATCTCTGCCAGAGGCTAATTGCTGTCAATTGTGGTTCAATTTCCCATTCAAATACTCTCACAGATACTGGACAGGAAGTGTGATAAAGCTCCACACTGGGGACAACAAACAAAAACTGACACGTCCTATCTTTTTCCTATTTCACTAAAATGTTTGTTGGTGTCTGTGTACACTGGAAACATATTTCTCACTTCCTGTTCCACCACACAATAAGTAAGGGAAAATCACCCTAAAAGTAACAAGGACATCAATAAAAGTAAGAAAAGTAAATTTTTTTTCCACTTTGGATGTATGGACCTGGCCCCACTTTGAAGAACCCTGGTCTTTGGTCTATGTGCTGGAAGCTCTGCACATCCTTATCTGCCTTAGAGATTGCTAATCCAATCTAATATTAAGAAAAACTTTTATCATCTAGACACAAACCAAAAAGAATAGTGAGATGGGAGCAGCTAGCACTGAAGGTAACAAACCTAATAGAGTAATAGAGTAAATGCAATAGAAATTGTGCAGCGCTTATAATAAAGTGCATCAAAAAAAGAACCTTAATACAAAGGCATATCCCCTGAAGACATGCGTGTGCATGAAATGCATTGGAAGGGGCCTTATGTGCTGACGTCACGCTGGCAGATCCGGGTCTCGTATTGGTGCCCATCGTTGTAAGTCCAGCCGCACTTGTTCTTTGTATTCCATATGGCTTTAGGGTCTTTTTTTAACTGTCTGTACCCATCTGGCAAATAAATCCTACACTATATACCTTATTCTGGGCTTCCTGTTGGGAAGCAATTTCAGGGCTCACTTGAGGCAGTGATCCCATCCACGATGAAGAGCGGTCTGTGGAGGATCAGCACTGAAGACATCTCACGTTTTGATTTGTTTTATTGTGGAGCACCAACAGTGGAGACTTCTAATTGGTCGTCTCCTTGTTTATGGACAATAAATGAACAGCTATACAGAACTGCACAGGAAACTTTTGCTCACCTTAGTAGTGTATATTATTATCTCTTAATGTAGCGGATTATTTATGCACTTTTTGTATTTATTTAATTAGATATACATTTTTATTATTTGGATTTTTGATGCACATTAAAGTGTTACTAAACCCAGGACCCTGTATTCACTATACCTGGTCTCCCACAGTACACAGAACATGGAAATACAATTATTTTGGTAAATATAAACTGCTAAATACCTTTTCTCATCAGCAGTTAGAGCAGTCTTATGACTTCTATCAGTGTCCAGCTGAACACTAGTTAAAGCTTGTAGGAGGAGTTTTATTTCTGCTCTAGGAGGATGTGAAACCTCTGGCCCACTGTCTGGACAGTGCTTATTGGCCCTGTGCTGATCACATGCATGCTCCCAAAAAAAAAAATCCTCTCTAGCAATACTCACCAAACTGAGCATGTGCATGTGACCACAGGTTCAGTCTGCATCAGGTGGTCATTTCAACAAGAGGAGGGGCAGAGAAGAAAGAATCAAATAGCCTTTTTACACAATGCAGAGGATTAACCCCCTTAGGTTCCACAGTGCGTATAACAAGCATACTTTACTGCATATACAGACTGATTTTACTGTTGTGGGTTTAGTAACACTTTAAGGTTCTCTTTTTGATGCACTTTATTATAAGTGTTGCACAATTTTTTATACTTTTATCACCTGGCAGCAGCTGGTGTGGTGAGAGTTTTGGGGTTCAGGAGCTGGTCTGTAAAGTCTGGCCAAATTAAAATATTGGCACTCCCAGGAACATTACTGGCCAGGGTCAGTTTGCAGTCAAATTGGACAGGTAGATCACATGGCAGATGGTGTTCGAGCTATAACAGAGGTCAAAGTGGGGTTTTCCAAAAAGAACTACAGAAACCCTTGCTCTCCCTAAAATCTGAAGGTGTGACTGGATTTCACTGCCAGATGACTTCCTAGATTCTATTCCAGAGTTCATTTAATTGGATATCAGAGATGGGGTGATATGGTACTAGACAAGGCTAGAAAGAGTGGTAGTGAAGTCAGAAAGTGGGAATGAGGCCAGAAACGAGACAGGGATTAGAACCACAAGGTATGGCACCAGAACAGGAAAGAAGACTCATTTTTTAATAAAAATAGAGTGAGTAAAAAATGTGATGTATATCATAAAAATAGTTTATTTTTTATCCTGGCCAAAATAATTAATGAAATTATGTAGAAAACCACTATACATTACCTTCAGCTGAACATCCAAGCCTGTTTTAGCTACAGTGAAGGATTCTAAGTTGAGCAACGTTGTATTCAATTTATTTTTCAGTAATAGTTATGATGGTTAAGTGAACTAGTAAGAGAACAGACACGTCCTTGTAGTCAATTCTGTAACATAGAATGGTTGGGGCAAGCATTAACACGTTTGACATGAATCTCCCAGAGTTCAGGAAACAGGAGCCAAAAGAAATACAGAAGACTGAGCCTCCTAGGAATTATGCAGTAATACACTAAGTAAAGCACTGGGGCTTAGTAAGGGCTTTTAACTGGATTTGTATTCCATTATCTTAACTCAGCCCACAGAAACTGACATTGGTCAAATGCATCCAAGGGGCCAGTAGGAAAAATCACATATGCTTGTTATATAAAAGAGCTGAATGATCAACCACA